ACCATTTTCAAGAACTCTGGCTTTATAGCCTTGATTGCAATAGGTAGAAACACTATCAACATCACATGACAATCATGAGCCTTGTAGTGTGTTATTGACAAGTCCTTCATCGACACTAGCTTCTTCACATTCGCTGAAAACCCAGTCGGGACTTTGACCCCCCTCAGAAAAGTACATATAGCTCTCTTCTCTTCTGGTGTTAGGTTGAAGCACGCCGTGGGCAGACTGTATTTTCCATTAGCCTCAGGTACTGGGTGAAGCTGTGGCATCACGTTTAGCTGCACCATATTTTTCCATGATTTCAGACCATCCTTTGACTTGCCTGTGTCCATCAAGGTAGCAATAATACTCTCAAAGATATTCTTCTACATGTGCATAGCATCAATGGCATGAGGGACCTCCAAGTCTGGCCAATAAGGCAGATACTGAAAGAAGATCGATTGTTTCTTGAAAGTTATGCCTTTGACAGGAGGTGTGCTTCTATCTCTGTTTGTCCCATCTGGATTCTTCTTTCCATAGATGACGCGTATGTTTTTCACCATTCTGTACACGTGTTCTCCGTTATGACGTCTCTCCGGGGGGGTTCAATCTCCGGGATATTGTCATAAAATCTAAAGAACAATTTACTGCGGTACTTATGACTTGTCTTTAAGAAGCGCCGGTTCCTTAGGTAAACTATCTTCTTCGATGCATCCACGAACGCCCTGTAGTACCATCCAAGCAAACTAAGCATCCCATCTTTCCTTTGATCTATCTAGACAAAGCAAATAGCGCGAGGTAATCATTGATAGTAACAAATATTATTGCTCTACATATGAAGTCCTCCTTTCGAATGCATCATACATCGGCTCCCCATGCCTCCATAGCCTCTCCATTTCTTGCATCAAAGGCTCGAGGAACACGTCTATATCAATGCCTAGTTATTTAGGGTCAGAAATAAGAATAGTGAGGAGAAGGTACTATCTCTTCTGACACAACCACGTTGGGATGTTGTACATGGTCAAGATCACTGGCCAAGTGCTGTGGTCGGTCATCCTCTCATTGAAGGGATTCATTCCATCGGTGCTCAAGCCAAACCATACATTCCTTAGGTCATCGTTGAATTCTTTGTGCTTCTCATCGATCCTTTGCCATTGACTACAATTAGCCGGGTGTGCAATCTTATCATCATCCACCTTACGCTCATCATCCCACCATGTCATGAGTGTGGCTTCTTTAGGGTTTAGAAAGATACGTCTCAAGCGGTCGGTCACTGGTAGGTACCACATTACCAAGGCAGGAATTCTTCTCTGCTTTGCATCGTTACCTAATAGAGTGTCCTCTAGGGGCTAAGATTCTTGTACCACCTTTTTTGTACCCTTCTTATTCCTCTTTTTCCTTATGGAGGCTTCGTCCCCACCGTAAAGGTCATTATTTTTGATATCGGCTGGCCCCACACCGGGGACATTTATCCAGTGACTTGAACATTTTGCCACGAAAAAGGATATAGTGGTTGGGGCATGCATGGATTTTTTCAACCCCCATTGTCAATGGACTTATGACCTTCTTCTCTTGGTATGTGTTGGCGAGAACTGAGTTTGGTTGTGGCAGCACCCATGACAGGAGACGCAAATAGATCATTGAAACTATAGTCTGACCAGCCATACACAGCCTTCAGGATGAGTAGCTCAAGCACAAAATGTAGCAATGTCCAATGTGTCGGATAGTCCTTTTCAACACCATATACAGTCTCCTTCGATGCTTTTGTCACTCTTTCCAAATTTTCTAGACCTTTTGGGCTCTTTAGTAAAATCTCTGGTCCAAGAGCTCGAATCATGTCCTCCAAATCATCTTCATCCCCGACACGTGCTCCGCCATCATTATTGGCACTACCTTCTTTGTTACCATCCCAACCACCAGCATCACCACCTTGTTCATTGCCAAACTCAGGATCCATTCGTGCATCAAGCTCTGTTGAATATTGGGACAGGGATTCTAGGGTTTCATCGTCATATTCCTCCTCATTCTCGTCGTTAACAATAACCGTTTTACCATGATAAATCAATACTATGTAGTCCTCAACAAATCCTCACATCATCAAATGTGATCTGATGATAGTCACATCTGTTTATACCATATGGTTCTTGCAATCTTTACTGGGATAAATAATTGTATCCTTATTCTCTGTCAACGTCGTTGCATGCTTCTCTACGGCTTTAATAAATTTATCCACCTCTTCACGGAAACCTGCCTTGAACCTTAACGAACCATACATCCAAGAGTTCATGTACTCCATCTTTTACAACAACAACAAAATAAACATTAAAGGACTACTTATTCATATATATATAAATGAATCAAATTAATAATTATTTGAGAATAATTGTATATACTTCATATATATATATGAATATAAATCAAATATAATTACATGAAGCATACAAACACACCATGGTAGAGAAAAATTAATTAATAGCCTATTTATCCATAAATAATTAAAATACATATTTGTTGATTACAATAAACAATTTCAAAGACAATAATTAACAACAATTATATTTTACCCAATATCTTTCATGCAAACCCTAGTCTAATTTCATCAAACATAAATTTACAAAAATAAAATTAATAAAAAAACCAAACCCTAGATCTAGATCTACATGCACATAAAACATCCATAAAACTAGCTAATTGTTCACTAAAATCAAGAAACATGAACCAAATAAGAGTATGATCTTGTTCCCCTACCTAATTTATCCTAGTACATTCAAAACTTAGGTCTAATTTGCTTCATAAGTAGCTCAACCACCATAGAAGAGAGAGAAAAACAAAACTCTAATTACTCACTTACTAACCATTAAAACTTCAAAAAAAGTGTGGAATGACATTTTCTTACCTTCTACAACCTCTTCACCAAAGAATTTGAGACCAAAATATTCCTCTTAGTAGAGCAATTTTTGAAGGTGCCCAATGCCTTCCTACCTTTTTTTCACGGGTTGGAGTGAGTAACCCGAGGAGAAAGAAGGGGATGCAAGTATTTATACATGGGTCATTTGTAGGGGCGGCTGGTGATTGAGCCGCCCCTACAAATCACAGGTATTTATACGTGGAGCATTTATAGGGGCGGCTGGTGATTGAGCCGCCCCTACAAATCGCAACACCGGGGGCAGCTAGTGAGTGAGCCGCCCCTACAAATCGACGTATTTGTAGGGGCGGCTCGTATCACCAGCCGCCCATACTGTTCCATTTGTAGGGGCGGTTGGTCTCGTGGGTCCTGAACACGCCCACTGTAGGGGCGGCTCCATCACCAGCCGCATCTAAAAAAAATTTGTCCCATTACTACAAATATTTTTTTTATAGTGAAGGAAACTTTCCATAGTAAAGGATATGCTCAATCCTATGTTCCAAACACATGAACAGTACATAGAATAGAGGAATCTTGATTCATGTACTTTTTCTTTGGAAATCCTACAATCCAAACAGGGCGTAAGGTTTCCGACATGATTTCTACAAAGTCGGGAGGTTGGCAAGTCACTGAAACATGGGTCCAAGAACTCAACGAAGGGCAACTTTTTCTTTGGCATCTTGATGAGAGGAACGGAATCTTGCACGCAACGTTGCCGAATATTCATAACGAACTTAATATTATAGCCGGCCAGAGCCATAATTAGTTCACATTTTAGACCGGTTTCTTAAAAATCAGTAATTTCACATAATCTAATTTAATTTAACTTCATGAAAAAAATCCACGTTCCAAACAAAGAACAGGACTTACACATCTATTGTACAATTAATTCCACGTTCCATGATGCAGAGATGTACGTATATATACAGTACAGAAAGCAATAGACGTAGACATCATAAATCACACGTACGGGTTTTTTTTTTGCATGAACCTGCATTGCAGAGTGTGCATGCCGTACACAGATAAATCACAGCAACTTAGGCTGGATAGGGTGCGCTTACAAGAGGAAGTGTTTCCGAGCAAAAGAAGCCAAGAACGGCGCTCGGTGAGGATTAGGAAAGAGGAACACGGGAAGCACAGGAATTGCGGCCGCTTCATCAGATAAGACCAACGATAAACGAAACTTCATAAAGCATGCCAAAAAGCAACAACCGAAGACAAGAGCACAAGAACAGACACCAGAAATATATCCCGATCATCAATAACCACTAACTATTTCACCACTACTCAAGTTCTGAAACAGTGAAACGAGATTATCAGTGATCACCGATCCAAGAAACTGCGGGGTTGCTTTAGACAAAATGACGTCTCACAAAGATGATCAGTTTCGGATCTTGCCCACAATAAACACTACTTCATGAGGCCTTCCCAACGCTACTTTTTAGCTTGCAGCTCCAAATGCCACGTAGGATCGCATAAAAAAAAGTAGGTGCTCTATATTTGTTATAGTGGCTTGCAGAAGCTACATATGTTTGGAGAAAAAAAAAGATGGTATATACTAAAATAGAAGAGGAGAGGAAATAAAGATGAGGCATAATGAAAGTAAAAAGTTTCTGTGCAAACCACAAGTGTTAGTTTGTATTGTGTGATTAGTAATCTCAACATTTACCAGTATATATGGATCATGCCTCCATGGTGGTGCCCCGAAGAGAAAGGATAGTAAATGCAACAATACACGAGAACACAATAACAGAAAGCTCATATAGATGTCGATCATTAACTGCAGATTCCATTACCATTTGAAGTTCATCACGAGATCATCGCCATCCAGGAAACTAAACTTTGCAAGACGAACAGAAAAAGTAAAAAACATGGCTGCCTTCATCAGGCACGAGACAACACCACCACCAAAAGGTCCTCTCGTTCGCAGCATCTGCTGCTCTGCATCAGAAACGACTGCTCCAGTAAAACTACTACTCCTACGACGATCATGATCTAGTCAGTAACGACTGCTCCAGTAGAACTACTACTACGAGTACGACTAGCTCACTGCAACTACGATATGGACTGCAACCAGGAGACCCCGGGACCCATTCGATTCCCGATCCCCGATCCCCTACTCGATCTTGATCTCGAACACGTCCTTGCGCTCCTCGTCCTTGATCTTGGGCACGGTCAGGCTGACCATGCCGTTGTTCATCTCCGCCTTGATCTGATCCATCTTGAAAGCCTGGGAGGAGAGCACGATGCGGTAGCTGTACCGTGCCGGAGCCGGACCCTTGTCGTCGTCGCCCTCGGAGTCCTTGTCGCCCTCCCCCCCTTGATCACCAGGACGTCCTTCTCCACCCGCATCTTCACGTGCTCCTTCCCCAGCCCCGGCATCGCCACCTTCAGCTGCACCGCGTCGCCGTCCTCCTTGGAGACCCACCACCCGCGCGAGGAGAAGCCGGTCCTGGACGCCGCGCCGCCGTCCTCCGTCAGCGGCAGCAGCAGGCGCATCTTCGTCGCCTCGTCCAGCACGTCTGCAGAAAACCACCAAATCATCAGTACTCTCTCCTTCTTTCGCTTCACCAGCCTAGTTCGAGGAAATAAGGCGGGGAAGGGAACGGCCAACGCGAGGCGGCACCTCCAGAGAAGAGCTTGGCGATGGAGAGGTCGCGCTCACGTCGGCGGGCGGCGGCGACGGCGTCCTCGTCGCTGGAGTCGGCGGAGAAGAGCTTGGAGATGGAGAGGCGGCGGGCGGAGGCGGTGGTCTTGCCGGAGGCGGACGGTGAGGCGAGGAGCTCCTTGAGGAGGGCGGCCAGCGGGACCCCCTTGGAAGCGACGGCGGAAGCGGTAGCCATGGATGGATCCCTCCCTCTCTCTCCTGTGTTCGTGACTGGGGTTTTGGGGTTGTGTTAAATGCTGGGGTTTGCTTGGGGGAGGGGATGGCCGAGGGGGCTGGGAAGGTTCCAGAAGGCGCATCGGGGGCCATCGACGGTTCCAGTTCGCCCGGTCTGCTTTGCGATTCGTGCGTTTTTTTTTACCGGGACGACGTACTAGCTGTTCCGGTGATTTGGCGTTCTGATTCAGCCGAATGGAGGGAACCAATGGAGTCGCTGAACCGTGGGGCTGGGACCGACGGTTCCAGTTTATGACATTTTTTTTTGGGATTAATCAATATATACTGTGTGTTGATATGTTTATGGTTTGATATGCCATTTTGATGTTTGATACAACAAAACAACGAACAATATTTTTCAGCCTGACTTTTCACGAAACGAACAGGACCATTGATAGGATGGAACCTGGTGCAAAAGTGGCGAAGGATAATAAATTTTTAGAACTTGTTCACGGAAATCAATCAATTTACATCAAGGTAACCGATTACTAAAAATATCTAGGAGGTCCATCAGCACAACAGTATTACAACAAAAATATATAGGGCCTAGCATGGAGTTTTTAGGCAGCCTATGCAAACCAAATTACAACTCTAAAAAGGCACCAAAATCTGTCACTGCCTTGTGGTTACATGGAACATGGTCTATCATCATGTTGGGGATGGCATCACAATTCCCAACCGTTGCTAGGAGACTCATCAGTAATTTGGCACGAGTTATTCCGTGTTCTGCCTGTTTTTAGCAAAGTTATAACCACAGAAAGATGCAAAATATGAATTAATTAGTTGTACAGCTATAAAAAGGCCATGAAACAATGCAAGCTGATACAAAGTTTGTTTATTACCATTTTGAGCTCTCATCTAATAAAGTCCGAATATTCATGTGAGTTCAATTTGTTTCATGTGTGTGCAGTAGTCTGAACGTAGTAGAGGTGCAGCCTTTTATTTCCATGGCCTCTTGAGGATGTCTTAGAACATGATTGATGACTACTGAATGTTTTTTTCTACACTACTGCTGCTGCTATCTAGCTTTATTTCATCATCTCCATCAGGATTTATTTTCTCTGATTAGCCCAATGAGCAAGCCATAGAGATATGTATGTAGGCGAATTCCTTGACTAACTAATTTGAGTGCACGTGAGTTTTATAACATGATGTTTACTTAAATTTTGTCTCTTCTTGGTGCTGCTGAGGATTAAACTACTTTCGAAAAGGAGGGTAAGTGGACTAAGGGGAGGAACACAACATGGATTGCAGGCAGCAGGCAGGTATGGAGTTTCCATCCTAAAGATCGAGATTCTAAATAACATACGCACTGTCCAGTCTGGTAGGATTTTCAAATTTCCTTGGATTCATAATTCTTATTTGTGGCTCTACTCAGGTAAAGGCCACACTATCTGGCGTGGGCAGCCAAAACCTGGTAATCTACGGGTGCACAACTTGTCGGATTTTACCCTGGGCTCAATTTTATACTAAGCAATTAGTATGAATTTGTTTGTTCAGTAAACTGTAATAATTTGTGGCATATTTTTTTTAAACAATGGCAAGAGCTCTGTCTTTCAATTAAGACGAAAGAAGTTTATATACAAGCAAAAGGTAGCCAAGCGTGGCGCCAAACACCACGAAAGGTTACCCACCCACGCAATGCGACAGAGTACACACTACCATGAGTCATCGTTGCCGAGCATAGTTGCAAAGCAGCTAGCAGCTCCGACTTCCCATGGCAAAACACCGACAACCCATCAAAGATGTCAGACCAACGGGCCCGAAGCAGTAGGCTGCAGCAGGTCATCGTTGCCGAGCTCAACGGCCCCGCGAAGAGCAGCTCCGACTTCCTGCCATGATGCCACGCCCCGCCCGCGGCGATTGCCGAGCCTCTAAAGCTGAAAACCCAGCCGTCAGAGAAGGAGGGTTCGACACGTGTCATCGTTGCCGAGCTACATCCCCTGATGCAGCAGCTCCGACTTCGCGATGCAGAACTCGCCGTCTCGCATCAATCGGGCGCCGAGAGGCGGAGGACATCCGCCGAAGGAGACATCACGGCTGAGACGAATTTCCACAGCGACGCCTTCAGGAAGGGTACCGTCGCTTGTCCAGGAAAGGACCGGGTTTTCACCCGTGGAAGACATGGCTGGGGGCACAAGAACACGACGCCCCAACAAGGAAAACGGCGCCCACAGGCGTCGCCGTCGCCAAGGCTTTCGCCCGAGGTGCCCCTAGCACATACGTCGAGCCAAGATGCTGGACCGTAGCCTATCGCCACCGTCGTCGTCACTGCCATCCCGCAGAAGCTTCTCCAGAGGGGCATCGACGCGCCGGCTGCTCACAGCTGCCGCACAGCTGCGTCGACCGCCACCCCCTCCGATCGGGCAACATGCATGAAAGCATCTAGGCCCCTAATTAGGTTTCGGTGATTAATGACAATATAAGATTACTATGACTAACGTGTGTTTTACAGAGGCAATTAAGTTATGTCATGGTAATGGAGATCGATTGAGCAATCATGGTGGTCATGCCCCTACGATGGAAATCATTTTGGTTTTCAAAGGATGGACGACAAGGTTAAGGATGACTAGTTCTAAGTGTCGATTGGAGTTAGAGAGACACTTAGAGTAGTTTAGGACTTTGTTTTTCCTTTGGCCGTACTATTAAGGGGGGTATAGACGGGTAGCTTGACCTAGGTGAGTCTAGTGAGTTAGGTGTGGTGCACACTTGTTAAAACTAGCGCTAGGTAGCTCCTACATATGCCTAAGATCCAATGGAGTAAACTTCATTCACGTATGATCGAGAGTTGGAAGTGAATGGAGGGTCAAATACTGACCGGACGCTGGCTTCGGTGTGACCGGACGCTGGCGCAGAGTCCAGTCAGTTCATTTGACCGAGAAGAAATTGTTCGGTGCGACCGGACACTGGAAGGTCATGTGACCGGACGCTGAGAGCCAGCGTCCGGTCGTTTCCAGTAAGGTTCCAGAGAGGGAAAATCATGACCGGACGCGTCCGGTCACACTGTAAACACTGGAGTTCGGGGTGTACTGATCGGAGCGTCCGGTCAACATGTCCAGAGCGTCCGGTCACCCCGTAGAGGCAAATAACGGTTCGTTTTTCAGCCCATGTTATAAATAGAAGCTCCACTCGTGTGTGGAGTCACTTTTGCTCATTCCAACAGCTGAAACACACCTTAGAGAGTGCCAAGAAGAGCAAGGTTCTAGTGAGGTGATTGAGATTTGAGAATCCCAAAGAGAGCCCTTATTAGTGAGATCAAGAGTAGCAAAGTGTGCATCCACCCTTCTCCCTAAGCTTGTTGTGGTCAAGTGAGAGTTCGTTCTTGTTACTCTTGGTGATCGCCATCACCTAGACGGCTTGGTGGTGATTGGAGAGCTTGGTGATCATCCGGAGAGCTTGTGGATGACCCAACTCAAGTTGTGAGCGGTTGTGGGTGATTCACCACGACGGAGTGTCGAAGAATCAACCCGTAGAGAACACTTGATCCTTGCACGGATCAAGGGGGAGTTTCACCCTTGCGCGGGTGCTCCAACGAGGACTAGTGGAGAGTGGTGACTCTCCGATACCTCGGCAAAACATCGCTGCGTTCCTCCTTCTCTATTTACTTTGAGCATTTACTTTGAGTATTTCCTTTGAGTAATTACTTTGAGTATTTACATTGAGCAATTCAATTCTTGTCTTAACAATTCATAGAATTGTCATGCTAGAGTAGGATTGAAACTTAGGTTGCAAGTCACTTGTGCTGTAGAACAACTAGAAACACTTTTTAGGCACAAGGGGTTAATTGGGCTAACCGTAGGATTTAATTATTGCAAAGAAATTTAGAATTAGCCCAATTCACCCCCCTCTTGGGCATCTTGATCCTTTCAATTGGTATCGGAGCCTTGTGCTCACATATTTAGGCTTAACCGCCTAGTGAAAGATGTCTCACAGGGATGGACCACCTCCTATCTTTGAGGGGGACGATTTTCCTTATTGGAAAATTCGTATGGAGGCGTATCTAGAAGCTCTAGATGTTGGAATACTTAGAGCCGCCTCACAAGGTTTCTCAAAACCTCAGGATGTCGCACACCCACAAGGCGATGAGTTGAACTATGAAAAATGGAATGTAAAGGCTAGAAACACCATATTTAGAGGCATTTGTAAAGATGTGTTCAACCGGGTGAGGAACCACAAAGATGCCCATGTACTATGGTCGGACGTTTGTGTGCTCCATGAGGGAACAAAGAGTGAGCGTGAGGAACGCTATCATCTTGGCATGAAAAAGCTCAACTCTTTTGAAATGCTTCCTAAAGAATGTGGTAATGAAATGTATTCACGTTTGAATGTTCTTGTAGAGGAAGTCAATGGGCTTGGACTCACTCAAATACAACCATCCGATATTGTAAGAAAAATCTTGAGTGTCCTCCCATTGACAAATATGGGCATATTGTGACCGTGCTACATCAAGATAATCTTTCCACCGCTACACCGACACAAATCTTGGGAAAGATCAATGCTCATGAGATGTACATGCACATCACACCTCAAGATGGCTCATCCTCTACAAAGAAGAAAGAAAAAGATTTAGCATTCAAAGCTAGCCAAGAAAAGGGCAAAGCAAGGCTTGAGTATGAGAGCTCAAGTGATGATGAAGATGATGATGAAAGCCTTGCACTCATGGTGAAGAAGACCTCCAAAATGTTAAAGAAGCTCAACAAGAGTGGCATCAAATTTGATGGCAAGAAGAAGAAGTTCTTCACTAGCTCAAGAAGAAAGCCAATCTCCGAGATGAATTTCTACAATTGTGGCGAATTTGGTCATCTAGCTCATCAATGCACAAAGCCCAAGAAAGACAAGTTCAAGAGCAAGAACAAGGGCAAGAAAGATGACTCAAACAATGAAGATGAAGATGAGAAGAAAAAGAACAAGCCATACAAGAAAAGAGATGGCAAGAAGGACTTCCACAAGAAGAAGAAGAGT